ACAACGAAACAATATTGAGTCACACTACGGGCAGCAACCTCAACCCATCATAACGAAAACGGGGCTCAGCATGCAAGGCACCACAGCAAAGGCAAGGATGAGAAAGGGATCTGCAAGAAAAGAATGAGAGGATGGGACCTAGATGATCTTTAAGGTCCTTTCCAACCCAAACCATTTTAAGATTCTGTGAGATGTGCTGATGCTTTATGCATTCTGAAAGCTGACAGGCAGCATGGAAGGAAGCCAGACATATTGTGTTTAAATAGAGTTGAGCACTCTAGTCATAGCCGACTTTGTGATATTACCTTATAAATAAACGGAAGGAAATATTCTGCAAAAAGAAAGGTGAGCTGAGTGATGCTGCACCGGAGCAAAAAAGCGAACACATGCCACACATCTCTCCAGACTAAGAGGGGAAGATGTAAAACTCTGTAGCCATTCCGCAAATAGGTTACTCTTGAGCAACACATGGGGTGAAATGTGTGTAAAATAATGACTCATGCCACAGCCTTTTGGCCTCAGTGAGCTAATACAATATAAATTTTATTTAGAAAATGAAAGTTTAGGAACCACTTGGAAGAAAATATCATTGTGTTGCCCAGAGTGCAGGTCATTCTGTGCATGGCTATGAAGTGAGTTGTTGACTTAAGTCTCTGCCTCAAAATTCATATTCCACTCTTTTACCAGAGAGAGGACAGACAATTGCAAAGCAACCATCCCTCAACTTGAGCTTTCATTTTGTGAACACATTAGCACTGTAGCTAATGACTACAGACCACAAGTATCTTGGCAAAGTCAAAGTGCTGCAAAAGGACAAGCATCTTATCTTATCCCTTTCCTTACCCTGGAGACAAGCAAAAAAAAAAAAAAAAAAAAAACCAAACACCAAAACCAAACCAATGCAATTGGATTGGTTCATTTTCAGTCACCTGTTCATTAAGAAAAATTCTTTCTTCTGAAATGTGAAGCCCCACAGCTGATGTCATTTATGAGCAATAAATATTGATAAGGAAAGAGAAGGGAACGCATATATATATATACACAACCGTAGAGTGGGTGAGGAAGGCCTCTCACTCCTGCCACCCTTCCGAAGAAACAGAAGGATTCTGGCTGGGCAAAGGTAATGTATGCAGAATTGAATTTCTGTATTAGAGATTTTATCCATACAGTAACTTGGCCAGTATTGATTGGGCACTGTGCTACAAAGACAAATGTATTTAATATCTAAGTTGTTCCAGATGTGATAATTAAAAGAAAAGGTCTTCTTCACAGAGGAAGAATTTAAAAATAAATTATATCTTCTTCTTAGAAAGTACACCTTCAACCTGTGTGGGTAAGAAACGGCTTCAGTGAAGTCTAATTCCATATTTCTTTAGATCAAAAGTTAACACTGACTCACTTGTTTCATTCTTCAAACGTGAACATAAATTAATCCATTTTTGCAGAGGGTGGTCAATCATGGAAAATGCTTTTCTAATGCCATCTGAATTATTTTTATGTTGAATTTATTTCTCTTGAGTATTGGGATATACCAGTACAGCTGAACTCAGAATTTTGCCATCTAGAAATGTTAACTATCTGTCCAAGCTTTCAGATATATATGCTATTAAAATGTCTATCTGACAGTATGCAGTAAACGGATTGTATTTTCTAATGCAGCGTGAAAATTTTACAAAATGAAAGTTAAAGATGTAGACTCAGAGAAGGTAGAAAAAACTTATATCAAAGTAACTGAAAAGACAAATATTCCCACTCTTACAAACTTTCAAACCTGCTATGCCCCCTGAAAGATTTATCAGTTGGCAGGAAAAACACTCTGCTGAAGAGTGAAACACCAGGACTAAACATGAAAGGGCTGGACTGTATTTTTCAAACAGACCTTTGTTTCTAACTATAGATTTTTATTTTTTTTTTTGCATTCAATCAAATTTGCATAAAATGTCCAGTTTTCAAGCAGAGCTATCTAAAAATGCATCTCTAGCATTTGTCTTTTCAGAAGCATGAAAGCGATTTAGTGGATTCAACACTATTGACACGGAAGGATAATTGTATATGGGAACTGTTGTCTTTTGACTTTGAAAGTAATGCCAAATACATTTACTCCAAGGCATAGATTTGATTGTACAGTCTGACAATCGAAGATGTGCAGTGCTGTTTTAATCAAGTTTAATTCTGGAGCTAGAAATGTTTTGTTTCCATTTGCAGCACTTACCTGGGGAATCCCAGATCTTGTTTCTGCTTGTAAGGACAAGACAACTCCTCAGTGGCCAGATATCCCTTCAGTTTAAGAATTTATTCCTCACTAATATAAGTGAGAACCTGACTCTGCCTCATGAAAGTGATTTCCTTATGTAATTACGGGCGAACAAGCTGAAGACTGAATGTCTGAATGATATGAAGTGTTTGGTGTGATAGGATATGTCTTGCTGATTTATGTCATGCAACAGAATGTAGTTCTGAAATAAATGATCAATCTAGCCATAACCTATCTTGTACGAGGAGAATTGTAGTCACCAAACCACATTATCTTGGTGTTTTCATAGGCTGAATAGACCTCCTAAGAGTTCAGGTTAGTTAGCCCAGGCACAATGCCATCACAGTGTAACTATGAAGCCCACTGGATTCAAACTCACATCTCTGCATGGCAGTGGTGTCCTACCATTTTTGTTAGTATCAGTTTGGGAATTGGAACACCCAGCTCATTACCTTGTGAGCTCATGAAAGAATACAGCACATTGCATTGAATAACACAACAGTGTGTGGAGATTTTGGTCTGAACTCAGACAGCTTGGTCTTGCATTGCTACCATGCAAGTGAAGAGTGCCGTGTTTTCCCTTTTCTTCTTTAATTTCCTTAGAGGTAGGTTGAAACTTTGCATAGTTGGGAATTTAAAAATAAAGAACTCATCTTGTTCCAATAGTGGCTTGATGGCCTTATTCTGGTATACAGATTGATGCTTTACATTTGTTCACGAATGCTTTGCTGTGAATATTAGCCCTAAGAATTTTTTCCTGGGTGTAAAAGTCACATGGTAAACTTATATTCCCTGGTTGATTGACCTCCAATCTTAGTGGAAAGTCTTTCCTGTGTAAAAATGAGGAATATTTCTAGCTGTGCCTATAGTTATTGGCATCTAAATTCAGTGGGAGTCACTCTCAACTGCAAAGCTAAATGCTGGCAAGAGCATCGCTGCATCAAGCCCTTTACCGTGACATTATACACTGTGACAGATATTTTGGAATACTCTTACTGCAAACTAGTGTGGAATACTCATAAAATGTAAACAGAAAAGGGGGCTCACACACAAAGATGTTCAAAAACAAATTTTTTTTAACTTTTTCGTAATTTATTCTCTAGTGTTCTCATAGGCCTTCCCCAAGCCCTCTGCCCAGAGTTAGTTTAGTTGGAAATTTAGCCCCAAACAAGGGTTATAAGTGGACCTGCTTGTGCCCAGCGATCACAGTGTATAGAATTTTCTCATAGTATTGGAGATGCTGCACTATTTATAAACGAAAGAGTCACACTAAAGCACCTGAGAAGAAAACTAACACTCTTTCTGGAGCCCCATCATTATTGTTATTGCTATTATTACTATTATTATTATTGTAGTTGTTATTGTTGTTGTTATTATCCCTATAATAAGCAGAAATCTCTGACACCACAGTTGTAGGCTGACTCACTCACACAGGACTCAATAGCAAGTAAATCCACTGACATCGGTAACATAAACACAACATAAAAGAAAAAGAGATCACATCAAAAATCCAGAGGCAATTTCAGATGTTAAACAATGAACAGGATATGAATAATGTTACAAATGCCATTTCTTCCAAGTCATTATTCTAGGAACAAGAAATATTCGTTTTACTCAATGAAAGAAGAATGAAAAGTAAGTTGCATTTCCAGGACCCTGGTAACTTGCTGTTAATTCTCCGAGATGTGAATCTATGCTTCAGTTCCTGCCAGAAGTAAAAACTCTTAACTCATCCTTCTCACCTAACATCAACATGTTTCTTTAATCACTTAGCAGAGATGGATTGGTGGGTTGTTTATATTTTCATTATATATTTATGGTTTTAACAGGTGTTATCCCAATAGTTTCCCTGTCAAGTAGAATTTCCTAGATCTCTACCACTGACCTGTACTGCTCACGCTGTGGATTTTTCTCAGAAGTCAGCTGCAAGATTTATTATGTTTGACATTTTTTTATTACATCTTTTTTTCCTTGCTAGCTTCAGTCTGCTTTAAGATAACCCACTGAGCTCAAAGTTACTTTTCCTTGGGATTTTGCTCTTTGCCAGCTAAAAAGACATGATCTCCGGTATATGCTTAGCAGTACAAAGATAAGTAACCTCTACTTCTTCTGACATGTAGAAAAAATATCCCATGAATACGAGTGGGTTTCACACTGTCTGTGTACGTACTGTGGCGTTTGCTTCTATAAGGTATCTTAGCAGCCAAAGGGCAATAGCCAATATTACTTCCTGAAGGTTTTGTTTATGTCTAGGTGTCAGATGTCACTTGAGGGTGATCACCACCATTTGCTTGAGCCATAATGATGTTGATTTAATGAAGACACAGTGAGGAGGAAAGGAATGGAGACAACTGCTTATGTGTTCAGTGCTCCACTCCAAAACACCAGTTCCCAATATGGACGATGCTTGCTTGAGTAGGACGCTGCTCTGACCCTACTGAACAAATTAATGAGCTTTTTTGTTATACAGGGAGGCAAAGATGAAGGAAATGTTGCAAATTCAAGAGGGGGCTGATCGATCAATTATAAGAAACACGCAACTTTATGCTACTTACAGCCCCTGCTTCAACACCAGGTGGAGTCATCTCTGTACAAGACAGTGATGCCCATGCACCATCACACACTAATTTGCACAGTTTCAGCACATTCAACTGTATTAGATAGCAGTTAAAATAATCTCTGTGGCAAGCTTGACTTTGCAACAGTTTTGTATCTTGCTCACGCACCACATGACACCACTAACTTTATGCAGCAGAGATTAATGGATTTTGTGGTTTGTTTTTGTTTTGTTTTTTTTCTCTGTAGAAATGGATCTACTAACTGCAGTTATCTTCCTGGCTGCTTTGTTACACCAGACTAATGGACAGGTAGGAGCATTCATCTATGCGAAAGAGTCATGTCTGAGCACATTGTATAGATATGTGACACGGCATACTCTGGTCTAGTGATCTCTAGAGCTTAACAAGCCAGGGTTGAAATTACTGTTAGCATTTTAACATGACACAATAAAGATGAATTCTTGATTTTCTCAGGTTTTTGCTTTAAAATATTTCTTCTGCCTATCAAAATAGTCTTCTCTTCATAAGAATAATTTTAATAATACTTTTTCCCCAAAAATACGAACTAAGGCTATTCTAAAGTAGTTTAGCTAAGTATCAGAAATCTAGTATTCACCTCTCCTTAGAGAGAATTAATCTCGTAAGATGTAGGTATCTGCTATGTAGACATTTGATTGTGAGCTGTTTATCAAGATCTACTAAATAATGACTGAAAAGAAATAAGTATTTTGGGGATGCCAGTCATCTCTTTCCTCAATAAATTTTGGGTGAACCATGTCCTAAATTGCTTGTTTCTTTTACCCAAGTATAGCAGCATCTTAAAATAAATGGCTGAGACGTTGTTTCTACCATTCTAAATCTCTGAAGTTAAACAAGGTGTACGACGCTTCTTGGAGTAGGTTCAGTTGCGCAAACAGAAGAGTCCTAATGCACCTTGAGGCTCTCCAGAGTATCTGAGCCGTTCCTGGACAGCTGCACAGACAGCTATCCTTTTCTGGAGCAACAGTCTGAGAGGCTAGGTATGGCTCTCTGGGCATTTAAAATGGCATTAGATGCCATTTTAAACCACAGGCAACAGCCTTTAATACCCAGAATTGAGTTCTGAAGGCAAAGCAGTAAGATTCATCCATATTACTTGGACATTCCAGAATTTAGCCACTCTCATTTTATGCTTTTCTGATTGACTGTAAAGTAAAAAACTGACTTTTAGATATTTACATCTATGGTATACATATCTAAAATTAAATAAAATGAACGAGTGCCTAGAAAAGAGACCATCACACCAATGGCAGAACTCATCTCACTGATTTAAGCATCAATGTATTAGTTGTCCAGATCTCTGTCAGAGAGATCTCTCTCTACAAACAAAGGAAATAGAAAGAGGTACTAGTAGAGAATGTTTTTTCCAGTCCTAAAAAAGGAGTTCAAATATTCTGGGATGAACTACATCTGTCTTCTGCCACAAAGAGAGTTAAGGTGTCTATCTTAGACTGAGATGTCTCATTTTTAGACATTAAGTGGGAAAAATCTTTTCCTGGGTGATGTTTTACTCTGAAAATTTCAACAGAAGCATTGCAACTCTTTTTCTCCACAAGGGCTCATAACCTGACATCACTATGTAAAATGCAATCTAAATCATTCATTGCTGTCTTGATCTTGGGTATTTCAAAAGACAGTCTGAAAACAGCCCTAAATTCTAATCCAACTTCACATACTTCCAAAGCTTACAACTGACAAGAGCTAGGGACTTTTTTAGTTCACACAAGAGGTCAAAGACAGTCTTGAGATTTGGTTCCAGAGCTAATCTTTCTCCATATTTGATGTGGAGTCATCTGAAGGTAGAATTCCTATCTAAAAAATTAATTTAGGACCATGTCTCCTAGTGAAATGTGCAGTTCAAATGAAAGAAAGAAAAAAAAAAATCAACAATTATAGGAATAGAAGAACTAATAAAGGAAAATTGGGAATTTCCAGGAAGCTTTACTTTGACAGGAATCTCATCATTTATCTTGCTTATTAAAATTATGTTATCTGAAACCTTCATCATTATTGTTTTCCAGGGTTTTCAGTATAAACAAGTGGACATTTCCTCTCCTCAATATAAGTTGCAAAACCAAAAGCAGATCCTTGACCTGCACAATGAGATACGGAGATCTGTAGTTCCCACCGCCAGCAACATGCTGAAGATGGTAAGCTATGCATTGCAACTAATCTACTTTCCACATCGTTAGCAGAAGATTTTAGCCTTCTAAATAACACACCCTCACTGAACAGGGAGGGCAGGAAAGGTGCTCTGAGACTGAGATGAGGAAATCAGAATTTTATCCCTTTGCTTCTGCAGGCTTCATGCTTCATTTTGCGCAACTTGAAGATGCAAGAACTTTTGAAATCATCGCAAAGGTTTCAGGATAGTCACAAGTATTATTAAAAACCTCTCTCCTAACCAACATGTCTTAGTTTCTCCACTCAGAAAAACTCAACTGAGCAACATAGGAACTCATAGTTCTGAGGCTGTTTGCCTACAGGAATCTTGAATACAGGTTTGCCCCAGCCACATCTGTTTATTGCTGCCAAACCAACATGTAGCCTGCACAGCGAGCCATAAGTTGGTACTTTCTGTTTGTTCATTGCAATAGACAGCAACCGCAAGCCTTTTCAGGGAAAACATTTAAACTGGGAGTAGGGTGGAAAATGTGGTGATGGCTCTCTGGTTATGGATCCCATTCTTTAGTCTGTGGGATAAGCAGCTGCCTTAGAAAAGAAACACATGTCCTGGGTGAAGGAAAGAGTTTGTAAAGCAAGGGTGGAGCAGGAGCACAAGCAGCAGCATGCTGGTGAATCATGCACTGTCAGGGGGAAAAAAATGACCTAGATCTGCATAGCCATCTGTCCTCAGCTGAGTTTACTTTGCCCATCACAGCTCCCACCTCTGTCACCCCTGATGCTCTTTGTTATCCCTAGCCCATGAGAAGATGAGCTGGTCAGTGCTTTATGGTTAAGTCTGTATGGTGAAACTCGCAAACTTTCCCTAGGTTCAAAGTCCAGCTGGTGTCTATCACTACGTCTCAGCTGCACCTGGGCTGAAAATGAGTTTTATATCATTTAGTGCACTGCACCCTGCAATGTTAACTTAGACACAAAGCCAAAAGAAAGCAACAGTAGGTTGTAAAATTCCTGTTCTTCAGGACCATCTGGAGATCGGGACTGTGTGATACTGTACAGAATAACCTGCTCTACAACCTTTAAGGGCTGAAGTAATGTGGTGCCAATGCCCCAGTAGTGTAAACTGGCATGACTCTTCTTCTTTCTGTTGAGAACCGTGGCAACATTCAGCGCACAACATCCAAGTCACTCCCCATATTTTTAATCCTCATGGACTTCACTAACTTTTCTGTGACCTGGATACTTCTTCCTTTGTGTCTTTCAGGTGTGGAGTGAGAAAGCTGCCAAAAATGCTGAGAAATGGGCAAAAAATTGTGGGATGAAAATCAGTCCAAGAGATCAGAGAGTCATTAATGGTATATGAGAAATATGGGGACTAAGCTGATGGGTTAATATCAGTTTGCAGATGAGCCCTGTGCACGTGAGCTAGAAATAAGGAAAACTTTTAATCTGTTGTAGAATCTTTTCAGTGTTATTAAACAAAAAACATCTTTGTCAGATAAATAGACTGAAAGACAAATTTTTGGAAATTGGGAGAGGCGTGCTATGTACTTGCCCTGTATTTGTACCTTTCCCGCTGGAGACAAGACAGCGCAGTAGGTGACTGTTGGTATGACTAAGTACGGCCATTTTCATGTAACATTTTGTAGTCAAATAAGTATCTGTGACTGAAAGCTCACCAAAACCAGTATAACATTTCCTGTCTTTCATAGAAACAGGTGTGTTGCCCTTTTCTTAAAATCACAGGCAAAATAGATTGGCATCGTAGAAATGTTTTTAGGATGTAGCTACAACCCCTCTGTCCTACCTCCCACCCTACAGTTTGCTTCTCTCTTAAGTAATAGATTTACTTCTATTTCAGGTGTCACCTGCGGTGAGAATGTGTTACTGTCATCCAACCCAAAAACATGGGCTGAAGCAATTCAAGTCTGGCGCAGTCAGTCCTCCAATTTCAAGTACGGATTTGGAGCAACTGCGAAAAATGTCAATATTGAGAACTATACTCAGGTATGGAGAATTGAAACAAACTGCAATGATACTCTATAATTACTGGAGTACACTTAGGGGAGCTGGGAGATATTTATCAACAGGAAAAAAAAATATCAGTCATCAAATCATTATCTATCATTCACACTCTGATCCAAAGATGAATGATAAGTTAAAACTCTTTTATGTCTAATTCTGAGGCAATGGAACCAGGATTTTGGAAGATCTGCCCATAAGATAAATATTATTCTGTAGGAAAAATAAAATGGATATTTTTAATTTAGAAATAAATATTTTCTGCATAGGGAATGAGATGCCTGATTAAGAAACGTCAAAGCAAAATATTTATGATGAAAATATTTGAATTCAAACATTAGTGTCCTGCCAGAAACTGTACAAAAACATTTGGAAACTGGAGGACAGTTAACTCATTTTTCTATTTATTCTTTCTGACAGGTAAACTGTAAACTTAAAGCCGAATAGACAAAACAAAATAAAATTCTGGCTCTGCTATTTTGTGAGCCGTTTGATGAGAATTCAGTAAAACATGACTCTGAAATGATGTGTTTATTTTTATTCTACAGCTAATCTGGTACAACAGTTACCAGATTGGATGTGCAGTCGCCTACTGTCCTAAGAAACAGTTCAAGTACTTCTATGTTTGCCAATACTGCCCTTCGTACGTACTGCCTTTTTACTCTTTTAAGATGCGATAATCAGGGATATGTTTTCAAAAACTCCTGTGGTCATGTGTAGGATAAAATGATTCCAGTTTATTTTAACCATTTATGATTTGAAAATACCAGTGTGAATTGTGGGTTTAACATCAGGTTAATTATTTATTTCACATTGAAACAGATATTAGGGAAATTTTAGCATATGAACAAAGGAAGGTCTATCTCTGTCAGAATCAAGTATCCTGCACAAATCATCCTATAACTTTGACCACAAACAAGAAAGTCCAATGCAAAATGAAAGCCAACAGCAAATGAATATTCACAGAGGTAAAGAGAACATCTGAAACAGCTGCATGTCAGAAGGCATCTGCTGAGATTATTTCCTTATAAACCACAATCACTTGAAAGCCATTAGAAAAGCAGAACTAAGAAGCACGTAAGATTTATTTTTAACTGGTAATACTATACAAATTCAAATAATCGATTTTCTTTCTCTAAACCTTATTATTCTTCTTATTTAAAATCAAAGTTATTGTATTCTATTAATATCTGAAAAGAAAATGTGACTGCCTATGAAAATAATTTTATCCAAAAACTTCCAGATGCCTTTCATTGTGATAAATAACATAAATTCCTGTTAATGGCCCAGAGCTGCACTTTGACCTTGTTTCGTTTTGTATTTCTTTCAAATTTCAGAGGAAATAGGGCATCGCAAATAGCCACACCTTACAAAAGTGGACCGAAATGTGCAGACTGTCCCGGCCACTGCGACAAAGGGCTTTGCAGTAAGTGAATGTGTTCTCCTCCTTGCAATAAAACATTGCATTACCTCCGATAATAATGTTGTTCCTCTGTAGCATTGTGTCTTTGCATAGTTACTTCTTGCTAATCTGGATGAAAGATCCCAGAAGTGCCTCTTTCATTTCCCCCCAGAAATGACGGTGGTTAGATATTCCACCAGAACAGGCACAATCTTGAGTAGGGGGTTTGGACCAGGTGACCTTCAGAGGTCCCTTCCAACCTCAACCTTCCCGTGAGAAGAAGTAAATTGTGTTGCTGTTGAGCAATAGGTGCATTATCACACCAACAATCTGCTGCTTCCCTCTCCTGGAAAGCTCAAGAAAAAATGTCTTGATGTACATCTATATCTAAGGGCACGAACAGATCGTCAGGCTTCACACATCTGTATGTACGTGAGGATCTGAACAGGCCCCTGGGTTCTTCAGACTCCCATGTGGAGCAAGTCAAAGCATACAAATAGATGAGAACCATAAAATGCCACCTTTCTCCCTTTTCTATAATATTCAAACAATTTTAACGCTAGAGCACGAGTACAAAGATTATATAGACATGAAAATTCAGAATTTTTTGGAAAATGAAGAAGTATCAGACCAGGACTTGTTTTCTAAATAATATTTCATGGGTTTGTGTCTATCTTTTGTATTTTTAGCCAATCCTTGCAAGTATCAAGATTTAGCTGAAAACTGCGGGAACCTGAAAAGCTTGTTTGGCTGTGGCCACCCACAGATGAAGAAGAATTGTCCTGCTACCTGCACATGCACCACTCAAATCATGTAACGTCCCGGTGGATGTCATTATAGCTGCTCTGAGACTTAGTAGGAAAGAGTAGAACTCACTGTTAAGTGTATTCGCTTTCAGTGCAGCAGCTCAGATTGACCTATAGGTAACATTTATTTCTGAGATCTCACCATTACTCATCTTTGTAAAAATCATGCTTAACCTACTAATGTGTTATTTTGTGGGTTTTTTTTCTTGCGGTGGATCTTCTACTGATGCATTTCTTTTTAATGGGAGAAACACTTTTAACACACTTTAGTTTTTTTGCAAAATGTGTTAAATGCCACTTAACTTTCTTCTGTTACTTTTTCTTTGATTGTCAATGGAATGTATTCCTGCTAAATAAATACATGATTTACCGCTGGTTCACAAAGAGAGCATTTCACTGAAGTTATTTATAAATCAGATTTTTTACTTGGAAAACTCCTTATAGATATTTCAAGGCTCTTTGATACTTCATGTAAGTGGGAATGGGACAGGAAAAGGAAGACAATGTAAGAAGTGATGTGGGTTTTTTTTTGCACTGCCAAAATAAGAGGCATGTGTTGAATCTGTCAAATTTTACTCCGTGACCTAAACGCAAAGCTTGTGATACATCTCTGTATGCAGGTGAGAAATGGTATTTTTTTTTATATGGCACCAATAGTTGAGAAATATGAAGCTTTTTAAAAACATTCATACAAAGAAAAAGGTATATATATATATCCCTTCCCATCCTCTCTAGGAGTAGATAACTCCCACACTCGCTTGGAATTCATATTACAGCATGTAGAAATGAATGCTGCTGCCAAAACAACCCCTTGAAAAAGCAGTAGATCCAAGTTGCCAAAAAACACCATCAAAATATCTGATGTATAGAACTTCCCAGGTACCATCTCTGTGCCAGTTCCTAGCAGTGCACGTCTTCAGGATGTCTCCAGGAGGATAAAGTTCAGCTGAAGGCCATAGATGTGCCTTCTCCCATCTGTTTCCAGGCAGGCCACTATCTCCTGCCTAGGGGAAAGTTTAGCTGGATCTGCCGCACATGCTCACAGCAGCATGTTCATTTGTGTATTGGTTCTATCGATGCATTTCACTGAGTAAAGTTTTTAATTTCACATCTTTCCAGGCCCTTTGAAATGCAGGTCATCACTTCAAAGGGCTGTGTATCTGTACTGACCCAGAACTGAGGACTTAGGTTTGTTACTTGTCTGTGGCATTGGTTACTGGGGGGAACTTTCTGACCCATTTAGTGAGGGGCATTACCACAATTATTCCTCTTTAGATACTGACAACATTATTACATTGATAAGACAATATTTCAGAATCATTTTACAGCTTTTATTTTTTACATGTTATAGCTTTTACTTAATCTTTATATTTCTAACTTTAATAAAAAGATAGATAGAGAGTATATAGATCTTTACCTACAGTTTATAAACTTTTATAATGGTAAAAAAGGAGCAGACACCTGGAACAGCAGCTTCTCTATGAGTAGAGAAGTTCCTTCCACTACCCTTCCTCCTGGCACATCTCCCCGGTGATACGTCCTGGTGCCATCCAGGTTGTATTAGGGTGACCTCCGGCTGCTCCTCAAATGGGTGCTGGTCTCCCATAGGTTTTGAGTCACATATACCAGCCCTTAGCAGGACTGATCAACTCACTACTTTCCCTTCATATTTTAGACCAGCAGAAATAATTTTCTCACTAGGATTGCAATTCTGGTTAAAAACACAAGAGGGTGAACCATACCCAGACATTCAGCTGCATCAGTTTTTCATTTTACTACCTGTGTAAAGGGATACTCCTACTAGAAATTAAAGTTTTGGGCCTACCCCGGCCTGCTTTTAACACTTTATTGAACAGAATTTCTTAGCTAGTACTGGATGAATAAATAATCACTCTATATAGAAATGGTTTAGTAGCAGTTTCTTCTCCTCCTTTGTTTCATCCTCTCACTGTTGGCCAAATTCCTATTATATTAAAGCAATTTATTCCATCAAATTAAGGCAATTTATGATTTCCAGGATATCAATGTCTATGTCTGGTAGCCTTGATTTTCTACCTTCCTGAAGCTCAGTTTCAACATCATGACTGTGCACCACTATTCAAGGCTCCTACAATCATAGCAATATTTGTAGAAACTGTAATTCTAACCAAAGCTGGGTGAAAATTTCCTGATAAACCTACGTTTTCCTCAGAAAATACTCTTCTATAAAACCTCAGTTCTCTTACAGGGAGAACTCTTGACAGAGACAGAACTTTTGGCAGAACTCTCAGGTGGTTTGGGGGATATTTTCCAATATTTAATTCCTGCTTATAAGCAAGGAGATGGATGTTAACACTCCTTCCACACATACACTTTCCTCCCTCTCTCTCTGGGACAATGAATATTTAAAGGGGCATGACTTAATTATCAGAGATTTCTGAGAGCGCTTCCTCTCCAAAGAGCCAGCTCTTGTGTTCTGGATATCCAGTGTTTGATGGTGTGTGAGCATGGCAGTAGCAGGAGCTGGAAGAGATCTGCATCATGAAGTACAACCCTGTAGTGTCCTGCATCCCTACTGCAGGGTATCCCGGTGTTAATCTTCTTATTTTCATAGGGCTTTTCAAAAGATTCTGCTTCCCTATTGATGTGGAATAGAAGAAATAGCAGGTGAGATAAAATGCTACCTGGATGATCTTATTTCTCAGTACAGACTTCAAGGGGAGCTTGGGTCATTTCACTTAGTTGTTCATGTCTCTGGAAAGGCTGAGATGCTTCTGAATATGAATTTCCCATATACAGGCAAGGTCAAAGCAGTATGACATTCACTGAGATCCAGCGTGACAAATAACTTTTTTCAAAAAAACTTATTTTTAATACTGATGCCCTGAGAGTTGGTTTCTTTGTGGCACTAGCATTTGCTTTTTGGTACGTGCTGAAGTTACATCTATAGAATTTTTAGATGTAGTTAGGGCAAGAAGCTAGTAATGTCGAGAATTTCTTACAATTTCTGTTCTGGTTGCAGATATACTCACATAAGCACATATGCTGAGAGATGATAAGTGCAACCACCATGGTACAAGTCTACGTCTTATCAGTGGAGAATGATGTAAGAGCTCTTCAGCAGTTAACTTACATAACAAGGGCTTTAAACACAGGGCTTTGAACAAATATTATAGAGTAACTTCAACAGTCTAATGGCTTGTGAAGAAAGAATATTTTTGTTATTTAAAATGCACCAGCTGCAGTAGTTACGTTATCTAATTTGACTGTCTGAGAATCAGCCTCTGGGCTGAGCAAAATGGAAGGTCTTTCACTTTCAGTATCACAATTTTCTTCTGAGAGTCATGGACCTAAATCTTCTCGTTTTTTCTTCATCTATCGGTATGATAGAAAGAACAACTCTTCCATGAATCTTGCCTCACTTGTGCCCTTAACATATCACACCTACAATAACATCAGGTTAAGCCATTAAGGCTAAGTCTTCATACTAAATGTAAAGCAAGGCTTGGAAACCTTGACATGGCATGAGAAATCTCTGTTGTCAGAATAATTAATGCCCAAGTCACAAAACTATATCAAGATGCTTAAACAAGACCGAACAGCCAAGGGCCATCAGAGTAGGGCCAGGATGAGGGCCCTGGGCTGTTCCTGGCTATTCTAGGCCAGGTTGCAAAAATTGGATTCCTCTAAGTGTAAGGGCCAGAGTTAAATTGTGAAAAACAGGAGACAGACTTTCTCATTAAGAAGCTACTTGTCAGCTACTGCCTCTGCTTCGGTCTGCAAGCAAGATGTTTAACCTCCGTGCTTCAGTCTCATCAACTGCAACACAGATAAACTGACCTAGTCAGGGCAAGGAAGATTAATTAGTGAATGCTGAGAAAGAGCCTATGAAGCACTAAGACCTGTTAATTATAATATCACATATGGTAGCCACACCTCCAGTATAACTATATCTCAGTTCAACCACAAGTCGAGAGGACAGAGGGCTCCAGGAGATACAAGTGAGGAAATGCCACTCCCTCCCGCTCTGACCCTCCGGTGATGTCTGGAGGTTCACAGGCTGGTCACCGGCCTCGGTCGTCGGGCCTTGGGTCTGTGCAATGCAGACATGGGTCTGTTCCCTAGGAGTAACAAGGATACTCTGACACCCGCATCAATAACCAGTCTTGAAGAAAGGCAGTTCTTAGCAAAAGTTGAGGTAACAGATTGACATGGAAATACTCTTGAATACATTAAGGAAATGGCTCACATTAAGTATTCATTTTGTTACTGATGGGCAACCCAATGCTTAGAATGTGTAACTGAAAATAACTCTTTAAAAGGCTTATCATCAGATTTTGGGTTTTATTCCAGAGTAACAAAAATGATCATGTCAAATCAAATTGCACTTTTCTATTTTGCATCATTAACACCCTTCTGTTTTCTTCTCTTAGCCCACTTCTGCATAAAGTAATGAAAGTAAAGGAGGAGAACCCAAGCTACCAACCCAAAATCAAATTAAGGCTTTTGTTTGTTTTATGACAAATGTGTTTTGTTGATGAAATACAAGCTTTTTTATTTTATTAATTGACTTTAAAACACAAATTTTTATTTTATGCCATGCATAACCATTCACCTGTCTTATTTAAAACGTCTTTTCCCAATGTAAAGATATTCCAGAAACCTAGACTAAAGAAAACAAATGAAGTATACATTAAATCATCTTATTTTTATTTAGTGATATACAGCATTCTTTGTGTAGGCACATATGATAACTCAAATTTCCCACAAAGTGATTCCTGAAGCAGTTTATTTTGGCAAAAGTTGAAATGGAGCCCTTGTGATTTTTGCATCAGGTTGAAACACTGGTGTGTAAGGGAGGGTTTCTAAGCCCTACTGTTTCTGAAGAAAAAAAAAAAAAAAAACAAAACAAAAAAAAAAAACCAGTAATTTCAAAGCAAGAGTGGATCCACCTCTTGTGCAGATGTGGTTGTGCAACTCTCGCCACATGGTGAAGGAGATTTTCCTCCTTCACCCAACAATGCATCAGAAAACATGAATATATCTCCTATTTATCTGAAGTAGACTCCTAAGTTAGTGCTTTGTTTTTAGGAGTGGTTCCTGTGGAGGTGTCACTATTTCTTATGGCAGGAGGTGTTCTTAGAAAACTGGTTCTACCACAAGTGACAAAACTTTTTTCCTTCCTTTTTTTATTGTACAGGGCACAATGCATTAATAATGCAAAATTGTGTTTCATTAAAAGGAAAAAAAAAATTGAAAGAGAATTGAGATTTCACATGAACATTTAATATCCTGGAAATATATCACATGGAACAGTTTAATCATTCCATTTAACCACAAGTGCTAGATGCCCTTTGCAGCATCCAGCCCCGATTTGTGG